GGATTTTACACCAGCTGCCGGACTCCTCTCTCCCTTTGCTTCCTTCAGGTCAGTTACAGCTTTGGGTCCCACCTTCTTCACGATAAAACCCATTTCCCATTCATCTACCGGATGGTCCCCAAAGAGGAACACCAGTATCTCGGGATCGTCCAGCTGCTCCTGCATTTCAGGTGGAACTGGGTTGGCCTCCTCGTGCCAGACACCGACAACGGGGAACGGTTTGTGCAGACGGTGACCCCCTTGCTCGTTCGCCACACCATATGTACGGCTTTCTCACTTCGGACTCCAATGTGGACAACAGCATTGAAGACGTTTCTTCAAATAGAGTGGAATATGTGGAACCGAGTGAGGGTAGTCCTTTACTATGGGGAGACCCGCTTCTTCATACAGATCTTGCAAGGAATGACTCAGATCCTAACACAGTCTCCCCTGGGGAAGATCTGGATCACCACTGCCGTGTGGAACCTCAAGAAGAACTTGTCATATGAAATTCTGGCTTCTCCAGAGATCTATGGCTTTTTCTCCTTCCTCATCCATAAAGAGAAAAGGGCAAGACATGAAGATTTTGAACTCTTCCTTCCTGCTACACAGGAACTTGGCTTGAGATCGTTTACCTGCTCCTATTCCAAGCATACGTTGTCTGTGAAAGAGCGGTTGAGATGTCAAGAAGCAGAGAGGCTGGGGGCCCTGCCCAGAAAATGGGTTGAGGAAACTCTGTTGCTCAATGGCTACGCTATTTACAACCTGGCCCATGTGGTGGCAAGGGCCTTGAAGGCTGCACTGTCATCCTCTGGACTCAGGCGGATGGCCCGGTTGGGTGGCCAGAGGCTGGGACGCCCAAGAATGCAGCCGTGGCAGGTATGGCTTTCCCATCTCAGATCCTTTGGATCACCATGACTGCCAGTCTTTCCATTTCTGGGGTTTCCCAGCTGCAGCTGAATTTGTTAGTTAGTGGTTAGAAACCATGACAGCCAGTCTTTCCGTTTCTGGGGTTTCCAAGATGCAGCTGAATTGTTAGTTAGTGGTTAGAATGTAGAACCCAGAAGCATGTAGAGGAGTGATGAAAATAGCCGGGTATGACTTGATCCCGGCTGAAATAAAAGACAAAATCGCAATGATTGAGATCTCATGGAAATAAAGACAGGGTCGTCATTGGGCCTCCCATGGATAGAAAGAGTGAGGCACCCCGCTCGGTTTCCTCTTTTTCAAATGCCCTCCTTTTCTCTTTTTGTCTTTCCAGCTTCATCCCTTCTTGGGAAACGCCCACTTCTACAACACTTCCATGGATGGGGTGTTTCTGAATGAGAAGGGGGAACTGGGAGCCCACTTCGACGTAGTGAACTGGATGGTCTTTCCCAAGAACAAGTCCTTCGACGCCGTAAAGTTTGGGAAGGTGGAGGGCCAGGCATCGGGAGCCATAAAATTCACCCTCAACCCGGATGCCCCCGAATGGCTCCCCTTGTTTAGCCAGGTGGGTCGATCTGGTGAGATCATGCATGTGGCAGAAATACAAAAGGGAGACTGAGTCTCAAGGTGTATAAGAAGGGACAGCAATGCAGATCTTATTCTTATCTAGAAAGCTCAGCCTCGGCACATTTCGATGGTGGCCTTCAGCAGCTGAGCAAAAATTAATAAAAATATATTAATGTAGAAACAGCTGGCTTGAGAAAGTGACCGCTCATTTTTCTGCAAAGAGGAAATCACAAAAGCAGCAAAACCAGGGAGCTGGACAGGGGACAGATTGGATTTGTCTTCAGTGTGGAAAGGATTGTCACTCTCGAATTGGCCTCCTCAGCCACACTAGACGCTGTTCCAAGTCCTCCACACAGAGCACGCTACCATAGTCTTTCGAGACTGAAGGATGCCTAACCTAACCTAATGAGATCCATACCAAGAAAAGAAAAAAACACCCAGATAGACAGCTTATTTTTTCTTGCCTATATAATTAACAATATAAAATATTAATGAAAGACTTACTGTTTTGCAAAAGAGATAAGAGAAAGTCATCTTGGTTATGTGCTAATATTGTGAGAATTATTTACTTATTTTTAATAATTGTTTAAAATACAATTAAGATTAAAAGTAAAAAAACCCAACAATATAAAATATTAATAAATATTCTCATAGCAAGATACATAAATTCCAATACCGCTTAAGGATTGCATATACATACCAAGCTTGGTATATAGACAGGGTAAAAAAAAACTAGATAGACAAGAAAAATTAGCTGTAACTGTCCATAGCCAGCTGTTTCTGAATTAATATACTCTTATTAAATTTTTGCTCAGCTCCTGAAGAAAGCCGCCGTTGAATCACGCCAAGCCTGAGCTTTCTAGATAAAAATAAGATCTACCATTTCTTGAGACTCAGTTTCCCTTTCGTAATTTCGACACCTGCTTCGAGATGCTCTATCTGCTGGCCTCCTCTGTAGCTGGAATATATCATCTGTATCCGCCCCAGACACTATAAAGTACACACTGCATTAACAGATTTTTTTTCCCCATACTTCCCCACTCTGCTTGACACAGCACTTTCCCCCATGATCCTCTGCTCCTTTGGAAGCCCATGGAAATCAGCTTTATTTTTAGGAATGGGTTGTTCCACAGGCAGAGGCTTGCACTGCTCATCTGTAGTGGATTTTCACTTCCATGAAAATAGGTTCTGGCTGATCACACACAAACAGCAAGGTCTGCAAAGCCAGGCTCAGGACTGCCCTTCCCATCAGATCCCTTCCCCTCCTCTGACAACCCTTGATGGGTCTTGTCTTTTTTTGGGGGGGTGCAGCCCCTCCCTGGTTCCAGGTGTACAGAGAGCTGTCGTCCGGGATACTCCAGGGTGATCGAAGCAGGGAAGTCTGTTTGCTGCTATGGTTGTTCATTCTGCGCTGAAGGGACGGTCTCTAGCTATGAAGGTAGGTGACACTGAGGGGATCTGGGCCAAATCTGCGGAAAGAGTCAGCCAAGCTTCTGGAGGGGAAAAGGATCCATCATGGATAAGGTTGTGCCATGATCCAGGGAAGTCAGAAACAACAAACTGTGGGAGATGAGAATAGCACATGCTGTGCTAATCAGATGCCTTCCAGCAGTCAAGGAATTATCTTTTCAATAATGAGCTGACTGTGAGGTGTAGTCTTGCCCCAAGATGGTTGCGGCCCCATTGGTGCTGCTGGCAGGCAGAATGTGATCTTGCCTGATACAATATCAATCTTACTGATTAAGGAGGTTAGAGTTTCAATCTTCCCAGTCCCAGTCACTGTTCCGTCCCTTCCATTGGTGGTGTTTCCTCACCTACCCTTCACTTGATGGATTTTCAGCCTCTGGGTATGCAACCAAGAGCCACAGTGAACCCCTAGCTCAAGAGACAGAATCCAGTATCATTCTTGGGAAGTGGTTTCCCATCTTTCTCAAGAGAGTAATAATTAAAAATTAAACTGATCATTAGTATCTTGGTTCCACTTCGAAATGAGCCATGAGGCTTTCTGCTCTACCGTCTTGGGCCAGACATGATCTCTTTTAAGACTGTACATCACAAAGTTATTCGGAACCATTCTGGGCACAGGCATCTTGGTTACCCTCCAAAAATCTGGGATGCTGAAGGGAGGTGGTTAAATAATGGGCAACCCAATCAGGGAGCTGGACAAGGGACAGATTGTATTTGTCTTCAGTGTGGAAGGGATTGTCACGCTCGAATTGGCCTTCTCAGCCACACTGGATGCTGTTCCCAGTCCTCCATACAGAGCACGTTACCATAGTCTCTTGAGACTGAAGGATGCCTAATCAGACCCCAATCATCTCTCTCTTCTTGGGATTACTTTTCCAGCTACTTCAAGATAACCGCTGTGATGATATGGAAGGAGAGTGGGATTTGTAGTCTGGAAAGAAATTGGAGTGTGTTAGGTTCAAAGTGGAATGAGTTGAAAGCATTGGAATGCAATAAAGGCTGGGACACTGTTTTTCCTAATTTCCAGCTACTGTGGTAGAGAGTGAATCCTGATAAGGGTGCAAGGATGAAAGAGGCCAGGTGTGAAGACTCAATACATTCCAATCTCATTGGCAAAAAGAGAACATACCTGCATCTTCATGAGAAATGGGGCTGGAGAGTGATGTTACGCCTCTGAGAAGTATTTGGTTTACAACCATGAAGAAGGAGGTCCGAGGATTGTAGAAAAAGATCACTTTTTTTTCAGACTACACATTATTACTTGTTTGTAATAAGAAATAAGACTGGCGAAATGTCAGGAAGAACAACCTCCAGAACACGGCCAAAGAACCTGAAAAACCCACAAAAACTATCAAAATAACAGCTTTGTTTAACTATTGTAACCTTTGAACATGTTATTATGCTACTGCTCATGCAAACAAACTGTTTCCATGAATCTTTATTTTCTTAATGAAAAATAATTATAAAAACCTCATAGAGGACTAGTCTCTTGGACCAGCATGGTTGGCCTAAATCCAGAAGGGTGGAAAGGCCACTAACTAGCTACTATTGAAAAGTCCTATTTAACTGAGTTGTTGTGAGTTCTGAAGAATGACAAAGCCCATATTTAAGTACTTCCAAAGTACTGAGAGAAGTGTTTTTCAAAGGTTAGGCTTGTCCAAGGCATAGATAGTATGCACTACTGAAGCATGAGGACTTACCTTGGTATAAAGTGGTAGATTTGGGGCCTAAGACACTCCCTGACCGAATGCCATACTCTCCTTAGGGAGGTTTGGTCATCACAACCACCATCACCAAATGGCCGGTGTCTGACCTAATACTTCCCTCTGTATTGGCTATAGTCTATTCCGACAGACGTTGGCTTTGGGGTGGCACCAGAGGAAGGTCTTGTAAAGTAAATGTCAGTTGTATAAACAACGATATTGAAAACATTCGTTTTCCCCTTACCACCATCACCAAATGGCTGGTGTCTGATCTAATACTTCCCTCTGTATTGGCTATAGTCTGTTCCGACAGATGTTGGATTTGGGATGGCACCAGAGGAAGGTCTTGTAAAGTAAATGTCCCTCTCTTACGAGGAATATTTGGGGATCATCCTGGTTTCTTTTGCCCTGTTTTTCTCCATCATCACAGCTTCTGTGTTAGGAATCTTCATCAAAAACCAAGAGACTCCACTGGTCAAAGCCAACAACCGGGGCCTCTCCTACATCCTTCTCGTCTCCCTCCTGCTTTCCTTCTTCTCTTTTTTCCTCTTCATCGGCCGGCCAAGGAAAGCCCCCTGCCTCCTCCGACAAACGGCCTTCAGCATCATCTTCTCCATTGCCGTCTCTTCGGTGTTGGCCAAAACCATCACGGTGGTGCTGGCCTTCCTGGCCACCAAGCCCGGGAACAGAGCCAGGAGGTGGTTGGGGAAGAGTCTGGCCAACGCCATTGTCCTTTCTTGCTCCGGTGGTCAAATGGTCATCTGCTCCATCTGGTTGGGGACCTCTCCTCCATTCCCGGATGCTGACGTGTACTCCCAGCCTGGGGAGATCACCCTGCAATGCAACGAGGGGTCTGTGGCCATGTTCTACTCCGCCCTCGGCTACCTGGGCTTCCTGGCTGCCGTCTGCTTCACGGTGGCCTTCCTGGCCAGGAAGTTGCCCGGGGCCTTCAACGAGGCCAAGCTGATCACCTTCAGCATGCTGGTCTTCTGCAGCGTTTGGGCATCTTTTGTCCCTACCTACCTGAGCACCAGAGGCAAGTTCATGGTGGCCGTGCAGGTCTTCTCCATCTTGGCCTCCAGCGCTGGCCTCCTGGGCTGCATCTTCATCCCCAAGTGCTACATTATGGTCCTCAGGCCTCACCTGAACACCAAAGAGCATTTGAAAGATGCGGGTCCTAAAATTCTCAATAACTGCAGGTAACCCTTTTCTATGACAGCAGAAATGAGACATCCCTGCTTTTCTTGGGAATGCAGGTCTTTATGTGATGTAAATTATCTCATCTCACATCATTACACGAAGGATAAAACCAACTGTAGTGAAGGGACCACGTGCACAAAAGCACTACATGAAACATGTAAGAAGAACACACCTCTCATCAGATCACACAGAATACAGTTTGGAAAGTTAAAACACAGTCAGCTATATTTCATTCCCTCAAAGCGGCTTTGTAAAGGAAAAAGGCTGGCCAGGTTTCCTTTGCCAGGGCCAGGTATTTCGCTTTCCAATCTAGATTGCTGAAGCAAACAGACACAGCTGGGTTTAGACTCTCAGATTACCTCCGGACCAATCCCTCTGCTCGCTTACTCCTGCTAGGAGACTTCAACTCCAGTCTAGGCCCAGATAACCCTTCCCTTGCTTCCCACCTGAATTGGATCTGGGATGACTCTATCCCCCCTACTCTCTTAGGTTCCAGACTTTCTCTTGACCCCTCATTCAACCAACATACCCCTCTGCTGATTAACTTATGCTTAGAATTCAACCTACACATTCCTAACGGATCCCTGCCCAGTGATTTCCCTGGTAAACTAACTCACTTCTCCCATAGAGGGGCTAGTGTCCTGGACTATGCTCTTGTTACCTCGGATATTCTCCCCTCCATTCTTGACTTCACTGTCCAACCTCGTACCGACAGTGACCATTCTCCAATCTCTCTGAAACTGCACTTCCCTTCCTGTCCCCAGCGCCCTCTATCTACCCTCCGCCCCCTACGTATATCCGTAAATGGACCCCCGAAACTGCCGTCTCTTTTTCCCAGTGGATTTCAAGACCGGAGATACTAACTCTATC